GATGAAAAATCGGTACAGACGCGTAGCGCACACACAGACAACCTCTCGTCAATATGCGTTTTTCGCGGTGCATAGCTGCAAAAAACGCACAAAAGCAGGCGTGTTTTTCTGGAAAATTAGTAGCAGACGTTTTTTAGAATGCAGTTCATCTAAAACAGGGTCAAATTGGCTTTTGACAAGACAAGGCAGAGTGATTTTAGCGCATAAAAATTGAGAATCGACTCAGCACCCGTGTTATTTTCCTCTCCAGCAGCAAAATTCTTACAGAAATCGATGCAGGACAAAATTATACCTTCAGTGTCTGGAAAACTTCGTCGTTGGGATGAGTGATGCGCGATATTAACTGGGCAAATGCACTATAGAACATGTAATGATCGAGTCGCTTAAATGTATCGTTAATTACACCATTCATCTAAAATAAGTAACCACTGGATGTTTTTGTTAAATTAAGATCAGTAAATTTCTGCAAACTAACGAAAACTGGTGAGGTCCAAACTGCTGTGACTGAGAACCATCTCCGTGTAGCTATACCAGGCAAGCCTTAAGTCGCACGCTACCAGTCAGACTTCCTACTTTTATTACATATGCGCATTCCGGGCAAGGGCCACTAGGAATCTTTTTACATATCACCGAAAAAACGCTAGTGTGGCACACTGATCACTTTGCAAGTCAGTAAACTATTTCTTTGGAGGTTTACTGAAAATAAACTGCACGCAATACAGAATTCAGGGCATTTGCGCATTTTCAAATAGTCTAGCTTACACGCTACATCATATTATTAGTACACAAGTTGTTAAATTCAGTCAAGATTAGTTGTTACCAGAATATAAATAATAATCTTTTGAAGAAATTTTGTTAAAAAATTAGCTGAAAATGAAGAAGCACTGCTGGAAGAAACCTCTCTAACATCGCTGTCCTCGTGCACTGGGCTTCGCTGCGTCAAATTCCTCGGCATCTTTGGTGGTGGTTGTGTACACGCATTTTCGGCCTAAACATTCCTTTAGAAGCCACATTTTTAGAACCAAGGAAACGACCTTCTCCGTACAAAACATTCAGAAAAGTTTGTAGCGTTTACTACATGCCAAAGTACGACGGCATTCGTAACTTCTAACAAGTTGTAATGAAATGAGTCTCAGCGAGGCAGTAAAAGAAATAATTCAGAGCAGAACAGCTACTAGAAAAGAATTAATGGAAAACGACTGTGATACTTCCACGCTTCATCCTTGGCAAAATTTATAAAAAAAAATTTTTCACTGAAAAATTACCAATTTTTGTGTGTAATCCAGCCAAATGCTCAACATCCGTGGCATTACGTGGAACAGATAATTGCTTCCTTGAAGCAGCACCCGTTTGTATGATTTCAAAACTATTATTATTTTATCAACCGGAGCATTCTGAAAACACAAGAGGTGAATTCCTGACCAAAGCGAAACTTTTGTTAAAATCCTTTATGCGTTGATACACTGGTCACCCAGTTACTGGCATACTAAGAGCGGCAAAAGCCCGTAGAAGTGAAAAGTGTTCGGCCCATAGTCCTCCCTATCCACCTTTTTAAAATAAGGCGCTCCATTTAAGCAAAGGAGGAAAGCGACGTTCACTAATTGCTCTACAGGAAACAGACAAAGTTGAAAATGTTTAAAAAAATGCAAGCAAAAAGATTCCAAGAGGCCCGAATCCTTTTCAAATTTCTCCAAATTCTTCAAAATTCATACTTTGAAAGTCAAAACTGGAATTCTTTTGCTATGATATAACACTTGCCTCATTTTTTTTATACAAGAAATTGTCTAAAAATACAGCCACTCGATAATACAGATCTTCGGATGGTTCAGCGATCAGTGGAAGTGAATAATAAGTATTGTACAGGTCACCAAAACTGCTTGCACCTGCTCGTAACGAATATTCGGCAAGAAGCAATTGTGCCTATAAGCAAGTGACATTTGATGTATGCAAGCACAAGATATGAGCCACAGGTGATAGTTTTGAACAAACGGATTCGCATATGAATAACGGATATTTTCACAAAAGTACAGTTGCCCCAGCAGTCTGAATCGCGAGTTAAATGGATGCCAACAGTACTCCTACTGGAAGTGTCGCCCACTCATTCGCGAGATTTAAATTTGTGTGTAAGATGAATTTCAAATGTTCCTGTCAAGCACCATCATATCCCCGGAAAATTTCAGCTTCCTAGCTCAGCAAGATCTCAAAATCGCTTACCTCAATAAATGATCTGACACGCTCCTACGCATGATACAAATGTACGCTAATGTTCATTTCACGTTTATAGACACAGATACATCGCAAAATCCGCGCAATATTAGAGGAACTAAATCAGTCTGGTTCCTGAGTTGGTATTTTGCCAGTTATAAATCGCAACTTGGACGCGTCCGTGAGAATTACGTACGTGTAGATCCGAAATGAATTTAAAATCTTTAGCTCATATAAGCGCACGAACGTCCCTGTGAGGTTTCACTTTCGTATACTGGGTACCTTTCGAAATCCTTTTCCCGCCAAAAAATCTACAAAAGTTTTTGAAGAGCCTATACGCGAGACCCAGGCGTAGGAGAACAATAATTTTAGAGATGAAGCATCGCACATGGAGTGGAACATGCTCCAGAAGTTCCAGCTTCCTAGTTTCATCGGTCACTGTGTTGAAAGTGGGTGGATGACAAACTGTAAACATACATACATACATACATACATACATACATACATACATACATACATACATACATACATACAT